TTGATTGAGTGCTACAGAGATTTTTATGAAGTCACATTTTAATAATAAAGATTCCCTCTCTTCATGCATTTATTAAATATATTCATATCATGTAACGTCAAAAGCAATTCTCATATATTAGACAGAAATTGTATATTGAATGGCTGTTATTCCAGGATAAATCCTTGTTATTTTCGGGCGACATAATGTAGATTGAAATTGAAATTATTAAATTAACTGAAATATCGTTTTCTCTTAAACGAAAAACAAGATTGTAAAAAGGATGAATTTAATTAAAAGTTTAAATTTAATTTTATAATACAATATTACTTTCTCATTCTTTACAATATAAAAATGTCAAATAGTGCGAATATTGAATTGACATTTATTTGTTATTCTTTTTATTCGCTCGGCGCGCGTCTCGATAAAAGACCATGATTGACCTGGTATATAACAAATTCCGGTACAATGCAGATCATAAATATGCATCAAGGTAGTGGTCGTGAATGAAAATATTTTGAATGACAACAGAATGTATTATATTTTTTACGCGTATTAACTGATGCGTAAGCGGAACATTTCACTATTGTAACGTGATAGTAGTTCTCTCGAGTATTACAACTCGTGTTTATATTGCAGTCATAAATAAATCGTTTCGCTCATTGGCAAGTTTATAGAAGCTGAGGAAGGACTGCCATGCGTAGGAATATTTATATGTCGAAGTATCAATGAAGAACGAAAGATTTTTAATTTAAAAAATTTCATTTTGCTGATCACGTATTAAATAATAATTTTCAATAGTCTATTCCAAACACTTGAATACTTGGTACACTCTTATAATAAATGTGACAATATAGGTTAAAAGGAACATTATATTTAAATTGAAAATATTGCTTAATCGTTTAAAGCAGAGTTGGGATTTGCATAATTCGAATCGATTTTGTTATCGATTATTGACCTAATTATATACAATAATTACGCAGTAATTATACATATAGTACATTTTTTAAATTTATCAATTTGTTTTAATAAACATTTTGTAAAATGAACATACTGCAGTATAGAAGATTATTTATGGAAAAAGTCACAAGGTTGCCGCTGTAAAAATATCTTTATTATTTAAAGCAATGAAGATCATATATCTTTTAAGGGGAAAAGTTTTTTGTTAATTTAAAATTTTTTTTATTTTTAACATTTTTTTTACATAACTCTCTTGCTTCTAGCTGGGATGCATTCTGTTATAAGGGATATATAGTTATAAGGGATATACAGTGGAAAATGAGTTACGTAAAAATATGTAAAATATGAAAAAAAATTTTAAATCGAGAAAAAACTTCTGTACATGAATACTTTTTATGTATTTTATTATTTTTGTAAAGATTATTTAAAGTAATCATTCTGTTTTTTAAACAATATTGAAAAGAATTTAGAAATAAATATTTTTAAAAAAAAGATTGAGTTTATTTGCCTACAAATTTAGCAACAGGCTTTTCCATTATTCTTTAATTAGTAAAGCTTTATAATACTTTTTTTATATAATACTTTTTTTTATGACCTCTTTATACTTTATATTGTAATAAAATTATCTAAGATATTAGAAATCATTATTGATTTTTTTTTGATAATGTGGTTCGAGTGTGCTTCTATTTGTTTGCAAAATATTTATGTTAATTATAACATGGATATTAATTAGTCATTAATTAGAAGAAAAGCAAATTAAAAACAAAACTAGACAAACAGAACGTATCGAACGACGCGTGCGCACTTGAACTCGCATCAAGAATAGTCAAGAATTTCATAGAACGGAGTAGTAGTTTCGTTCCGTTCCAACGGATAACATGTTCGTCAGATAGTGTCGATGGATAATTCGATCGTCGAATATAGTGAATTCTTTTATTTGCAACATTCGGATTATTTGTGTATGTTTTGGGGCGCTAATAAAGAATTTCTGTCCGTCACACAAAATCAAATCACACAAATCAAGAGAACGATAATTGTAACAAAGATCAGAGTTGAGAAAGCTTTGCTTTTTTCCTTACACGTTATCGAATTAACAAAATAACTAGTTACTGATTTAAAAAAATGACTCGTTATCCCGTTATTTAAAAAGTAACGAATTGTTATTTTCCTTAACAAATTAATATAAAATTATTTTCTTGCTTTTCTTTTTTTGCTAAGACAAGATCAAGCTAAATCAATAATTTATTCTCTTCTCTCTCTCTCTCTCTCTCTCTCTCTCCCTCCCCCTTCCTCTGTACTTTTTAAAATATTAATAAAAAAGCAATATAAAATGTTTCTATCTTACAAGACTACAAAAAATTTAAGAAAAGATAAAGATTTTTAAATGCTCAAAATATAAATTTACTTTTATGAAATTTTATTAAATTTATAAATATATAGGAAAATTTACGCCCTTTTCATTCTTGAGCTTATGTTTAAAAATTTTAGCATGATAATTTAAATTGTATAAATATTCTAAAAAGTTTTATTTCACTTGTCTGTGTATTTCGTAAAGATGCTATAAAAATTTTGAGATTTTGAGAAAAATTTATACTGTCATCTTCATAGGAAAAGATATTCAAATTTTTTTCAATTTTTTTGTTCATTTGGTGTTTGTGTGTATGTGTGTGTATCTTAAGAATTTCAAAACTACAATTCTTTTCAATTCCTTTTGATGGTGAGAAATGATAAAATGTGTGATGTGTATATTTTTTTTGCTGTTAAAATTTATCAATTTTGTTCAACTTTTAAAAGTAGAAAAAAAATATAAGTTATCATATCTATTCGAATTAGTTTTCATTATTATGTTGGTTTTTAAGAAATCAAATGAAATCTAAAAAAATTCTTTTATTTTACTCTTAATTGTCAACCGCTTCGAAAATAGACATTATAAGAAAAACTTCTTATAATGACATGTTCGTTCACATTTTAAATATATATATTTTACTAATATGTTTAACTTTTACTCGGAACAAATTATTTGAGAGAATTATTTAAGAAATATAATATAAAATATCAATTATATAATCAATGGTATAATCAATTGTACCATTTTATGAATTTACTTAAATGCGAAATATTTCACATAATATTAATTTAATACGATTATTAAAAGATTTCACTTAATACTTACCTATATTTTTCATTCTTAATTTGAAGAAAAATTATTGTAACACAAAGTTCTATGGAGTATTTATTTTAATTTATTTTTGAACTATTATTGTAATTTATATATTATTATTATATATATATGCTAATATCAATTTGTGCTCTTACAGTTGTCTTTTTTCACTATTCTACAAAAATATCAAAATATTTGCGTAATGAAATCGATATTCTTTTTCAGTGTGAATTATTTGAAAACTTTTGAGTACTTCCGTCGAGATCAATAATCGTGAAATACCAATCATAATACCAAACTATATTCAAAAGATGGCGTTTGCTCTCCATTAAATTTCAACGATGAATGAAGTATTGATTGCTCAGCGCAATAACTCCACATATATGTATTATACTTCAATCATTCGATATTCAGATTTGTACTACATAATTTTATCTATTTATACATTTATAGAATCGAAACATTCATTATAAAATCTGATAATCTTTCTTAAAATATTAATTCAATAGTATATTTAATTAGTATACAACATGTAGCAAATTTTAGTAGTTTTGCTGATTAAATTAATAGAGATTTGATCGAAATCGTAAAAGAGAAAACGCACATTTTATACATATATAATATTTAATTATATCTACAATTGATTTCATATCAAAAGAAAAATTATCGATGATTTTTTTAATATGAATATTTTGATTCTGTAAGTACAGAAAATTATGTAACAAAAGTAAATCTCAAATAGTCGTAATCATATTTTCTAAATTATAAAATATTATAAAATTAGATGTTCTGCATTTAAAACATATATACTTGTAATTCTACCAAATTTGATAATAAATATATGATTTATTGCAGATATTTTAATTAAAATAACAAATTTGTATTAGAATATGTATACGTTTTGATTTTCTACAATGTCTGTCTTTTTCTTTCTATCTGTAAAATAATGAAAATTAATGATTTCCATGCAATATCCATGCAATATCCATTCATGGTACGGATGTTGCTCTTATTATCTATCTGTAGAATATGCAACTTCCGGATTGATTTCCTAAAAACTAATTTTTTGCAAAAAACAATTGCTTTGAAATCCTCTTTGTGAAAAAAAGGAAGCAAATCTTTATAAGGAGATTAAATTAGCCCCTATTAATCAGATAAATTATTTTTTTGCAAAATAAATATTGAAACTTAAAAATATTTACTTGGATGTTTTATTTTTTAAAAGTAGTTGTATAATTAGATATTTAAGGAAAATATATTTCATTAATTAAAAATGTATTATTGATAAAATGCGCAACAATGATATATATTATGATATATACCGAACTATCGAGTTAATATAAGTTAACAGAATCGAGGTACAGACTGCTTTAGTTATTATTAGTTTTTGACTTTCTTAATATTATGAATCTTATTAAAGTATAAAATATAATAAAAAAATACGAATAAAAAGCGTATAAAATAAAATAAATACGTGGAACAAATGAAACGGACTGTTTTTTTATTTTATATAATTGTACATACTTAGATTTCTTTAAATATATTAGGTGTACAAATTCGGTGCCTTCATCGAGTCAAAAGGTCAAAACTGCTAAATTGCTTCCGCATTTGTTATTTGCCCAAAAGAAGATGTAAAGTCATCGAAAACAATGGAGATTATTTCGAGTATTAAATGTGTACTTGTCTTTGTGTGAGTAACTCTGAATTATGGAAAAAAAAGCATTGAATTAATTTGTACCTAATATTTTTCAAAAGACCTATAAAATAACTTTATTATATTGTATATGTATGTAGAAATAAAAACGTAGTATATTTAAAAATTATCTTAATTTTTATTTATTATATAAAACAAATAGTAATTTTACAAAATAATGAAAATGGAAATATATTGAAAAAACATTAGATATTTAGAAAGTCTAAATACACGTTTTTTAATTTAATTGTTTTTTCACTTGGCGGTGAGACGTTCCAGAACAGGTGCACTATGTACACGAAGTTGAGGAGAGGCAGCACAGCGTCACCTGTCGACGATCGCGTGCAAAATGGCCGCGTCTGTCAAAAATACGTTGCACTGACAGGAGCAAACGCTACGGGATACATTACATAAATATAAAGCGAAGCAGGTTCGTATCCGGTGCATCGCATGGGCCTTAATACGGCTGAAATTTTTGCACGTTTCCGAGGACAATAAAGCGAATCCGTACACCTCTGGGCGTGGCACGACATGATTCGCTCCCAATTCCGGTTGTATCGTACTCTTAAATTCTTTTTTCGTCGTAAGTTTTCTGTGAAAGTATGTGCCGTTTTTATCGCGTTCCAATGATTCCATCGTTAGTTTATTAATTAAGATTATTTTGTCGTTATATTATTACGAGCGCTGCGAACTTTGTGAGGTTATGTCATAGAGACAGATGTCAAGATCCTAACACAGAAAATTTATTTAAATATGACATTGTTTATATATTTTTTTATGTGTTTTGATATGTTTTATATATCCGAAATATATTTGAACAATATTTATTAATAGATATATTTAGAAATATGAAGACATATATTCTATCTGATTAAATATTTAGAAAGTTTATTGTTATTTTAATTCTATTAATTTAAGAGTTTTGAACTTAATATTAACTTAAAAATGGTTAACTGTGTTGGCACTTTTTAAATTAATTACCATGCATCTAATTATAATTGATTGTGTACAGGTGCAGATGGTTTATATAATCATAGATAACAGTGAATGAAGATGTAAACAAGAATGTTGCAACGAAAGTAGAGAATTTGAAACTTCTCATCTTTAATACAAGTATGGAAAAGAGAGGCAGTGCAGAACTTCTGGGTACAGAACAAAGCAATTCGAAGAATGCCAGTTCAGATTCTCTCAACTCAGACAGCAAGAGCAGTTCGCTTAATTCAAAAATGGGCCAGGAATCGGTATAAAGCAGAATTTATTTGATTATAATATTGATAACATAATACATTACTATTTAAATCTCGAGTGAATCTATAAATTTCTTTAGGAGAGTTGGGAAAAAGCTTCACATTCAAAAAGTTTTTCTTCAAGCTCCACTTCAACAGATAATAATATAGTCTCTGCTTTAGAGGCTAAAAAAGATAATCAAGTAAAAGTGAGTTTGTAGTGAATGCTTAAGTACAACACAGTTCTTACTTTTATTTATGTCATTATGGCATTTTTGTTGATACAAATATTCAATGATAATCCATGAATAGTAAAATATTTTTGTTAAAATATGATGTTCTGTTGTGTAAAATATTTTCCTATTATTTCACTTTTACTTTGCAACATATTTACTGTTGTTGCCTTTTATTTCTGTTGAAGTTGTAGAAAAAATAAAAAATTTTTCTTCTATCTATATAAAATTTACTATTACACAATATTTTCATTTGGTTACTTATATTGCTATTTTGATTAGAATTTGTCTGGAGGAGATACGGGACCACCACTCTTGAATGGAGAACGAGTGCAAGGCATTGCACATGAAGTTACCTATTTGTGTCCTTATTCGGGGCCTGCTAGAGGGATCCTTAGTGTTACAAATTACAAGCTTCATTTTCGTAGTATAGATCGAGAAACGCCTTATGTCGTCGAAGTGCCGTTGGGGGTCGTTAGTCGAATTGAAAAAGTCGGCGGTGCATCGAGTAGAGGAGAAAATTCTTATGGAATCGAGGTGTTTTGTAAAGATATGAGGAATCTCAGATTTGCTCATAAACAGGAAAACCATTCCAGACGAGACGTATTTGAAAAACTACAACAGTATTCTTTTCCATTATCTCACAAGTTACCTCTTTTTGCCTTTGAATACTCTGAGACTTTTTCTGAAAATGGTTGGAACGTTTACGAACCTATTGCAGAATTAAAAAGAATGGTATATATTAAAAGGCATATCTCGTGTAGAATTTGAAAAAACTTTAATGATATTATAACAGTTTGTTCAAAACTTTATATCACTTCTCGTTGAATTTCAGGGTGTAAATAACGATATGTGGAAAATATCAAAAATCAATGATACGTATTCGCTATGCGACAGTTATCCAGCTGTCTGGGCAGTACCTGCTGCAGCAACCGACGAGGATCTTCAAGCCTCTGCGTCTTTTAGAAGTAGAGGTAGACTTCCGGTTCTCTCATGGATTCATCCAGAAAGCCAAGCGACGATAACTCGTTGTGCTCAGCCATTAGTTGGTGTTGGCGGCAAACGAAGTCGCGAGGACGAGAGATATGTGCAATTGATAATGGATGCTAACGCACAAAGTCATAAACTCTTTATAATGGATGCGCGACCGATGCCAAACGCGATAGCGAATAAAGCGAAAGGTGGTGGATACGAAAGCGAAGATGCTTATCAGAATGCAGAATTAGTCTTTCTCGATATTCACAATATACATGTCATGAGAGAAAGTCTCAGAAAATTAAAAGGTATCAGATTTGTCAAAAAAAAATTAAATTTGATAAATATATTAATGTAACATTTTCTTTTTTTTTTAATTTACGTTTGATTTATTTCAGAATTATGTTTCCCCACAATTGACGAGGCTCGATGGCTGTCAGGTATAGAATCAACAATGTGGCTTAAGCATATCAAATGTGTTCTTGCTGGAGCTGTAAGAATTGTGGACAAAGTTGAAAATCATAAAACTTCAGTCCTAGTCCACTGTTCTGACGGTTGGGACCGAACAGCACAAGTAAATATTTAATTCTTATTGACTTTTATTAAAAGATTTTTTTTTATTGTTTGATGAAAAAATATGTTTTTGAATATGAACTGAATGAAGAGTATGATATTTTTCGTTAATTGTTTTTATAGAAAATTAATTTTTACCTTATAATTTGTTAAATATAAAATTATTAGGTGTTGGAATTAATTCGTAGCGTTTTACAAGTGATGGGAAGTACTTTCATTAATGTATTTTTTAATGCTCATGTGAAATAAATAACATTCTTTCATTAAAAAACGCTACGAATTAATTCCAACACCTAATATATAAATAAATACAATTGCACGTTAAAATCTTAAAACTTATTCTTAAAAATATATTTCTTCACGTAACAATAAAACTAGGAAAATTCGGTAAATTATAACGATGTAAATTTTATATTCCGTATCGATCGATTATGACTATCGATGAGTATATATGAAAGATAAAAATTACAATGTTTATTATACGTATTTATTGTTATTATCTTTTTTAGCTTACAGCTCTCGCGATGTTAATGTTAGATCCGTATTATAGAACCGTCAAAGGATTTGAGGTTTTAATAGAAAAAGAATGGCTTAGCTTTGGACATAAATTTCAACAGGTACATAGAACTTTCTTTAAATTTCAGTATTGTGTGATATTTCATTTGCTATAATTAATAATGATTTTTTTAGAGGATAGGCCATGGCGATGAACATCATAGCGATGCAGATAGATCGCCAGTATTTTTACAATTTATCGATTGCGTTTGGCAAATAATGCGACAATTTCCCAACGCTTTTGAATTCAACGAACATTTTTTAATTACCATTCTTGATCATCTTTACTCTTGTAGATTTGGCACGTTCTTGTTTAGCAGGTAAATATTTATAGGCGATTTGCATCTTATATTTTTATGTACATATATCATAATTGATATAATATTTATAGCGAACGCGAAAGAGTACAAGAACAAGTGAAGCAAAGAACAGTCTCTCTCTGGTCGCATACCAATAGTCAATTACCTCTTTATCTGAATCCTCTTTACCGATCCGGTACGAATTATCAGCTTGTTCTAATGCCAGTTGCTAGTATGCGATATATTAAACCGTGGAAAAGTTTGTATTGTAGATGGAACCCTAGTATGCGGCAACAGGTACATAAAAATATTTAATATAATTATTATGTTATATAGTTTACTAATTATAGAATGTCTTTGTTGAAATATCTGTTTTTACCTGCTTCAAGGATCCTGTCTATCAAAGAACAAGGGAGCTTCTAGTCTTAAAAGAGCAGCTCGAAAAGCAGCTGGAGGAAGGAAGACGCGAACAGGCCTCACGTGCGAATCGAGCCATTACCTCGCCGGCGCCACCCAGAATACATTCTCCAGTTCACATATAGCGCGCCATGGGGAACTATGACTTTAATAATTTGTAGTTTTGTAAATGAGCTGTAAACTCTTGATCTACTCCTTCGAGTACAAGATATTTTGACTGAAATTTGTGGATGCTATGTATAATACACCCACTTGATAAAAACGAATCTCGATTCGTGCGCATTTTTGCATTTTCAATGAATTAATCGCAACCGCACTTGCAACGTTTCCTTCTACATAATTCATGCAAATTGTACCCAGTTTATTTCATCGCAGTTGAATATGATTTCACACAAATGTATAGAGGCATAAACGTCTAAAAATTGATTTTATTTTATACGATTTTAATTACAATTATTACAATATTATAGTATTTCCATCACTATCATGTATGTGAAATTATAACTTCACATTCCTTATATTTCTTTTTGTTACGAGATTGGCTGAACATTCGCATTAATAAGATATACGGTGATTCTGCCATTAAAGACAATGCATATGCACAGATATAACTAATCCCAAAGTATCCAATGATCATAGCGCACTAAAAATGAAAATTGTGACAATAAGTGTATTTATTTTGTTTGAGGTTAGAGTTTTGATTGTTCGTGTACTTACCATGGACAGAAATTCAAAATGAGCAGATGTTTCATTATGCAAACGAATCGAATGTATAATAAAAGGATTTAAAAGGTAAGCGCAGTATGTAAGTCTACTAAGAGGAATCCAGATTTTGCATGTTAACAGCTCCTTAACGATGCCTGTAATAAAGTCAAGCGTTTGATAAGAATAAAATTTTTTTTCTAAATTATAACATTCTGTTATGATTTATTATTGTCTATTATATATATACAAAAATGCTTATTAAGCCTTGTGTCCATGATGTTAAAATTCACTCCGAAATCTCAGAAGCATTTCTACCATCAGGGCCAAGACTTTAAAGTAGTTTAAAGTATTAAATTAAAAAAATAGGATTAAATAGAATATTATACGAATAATATAACAATTTATTTATGTTGATATGATATAAAATTTATCTATTTATATTGTCAAAAAGGAAAGGCTACGAGTCAAAGCTAGTTGTTAAATGTTAATGATTAATCTATTTTTAATATTTATCAGTCCACATAAACATTAAATCATACAAACGTTTCAACCTTCATCAAGTCATCGTCAATATAAAATATAATAATTCAACTAATTGAAAAGGAAGATAAAAAGAATAAAGAAGACTCGCAATGTAAATCGGTTACACAATAGATAAATTTAAATATTAAATATTTATAGCATTGATTTTTTTAAAAAATATATGTAAATTCGTATTCTCTTTCGATGAAAGAATCAAGAATATGATTAAAATTTTCCAGCATAAATTGTAAATGGTAATAGAATTTATTTTTCACTGCAATATATCATTTGGAAAAACATCTAATAAAAATCCATTATCATTATAAATTTGTTTCAGTAAATGGATGCCGATTTTGCAGTAAACTTTATATACAGTTTACAAATTTCTCAGTCCATACAATTGCAGTAGATTCACAATTTTCCTCAATAGTACATTTTTTTTAATTATCCTTTGATAAATTAATCATCTTTCAAACGTAATGCAGAACAATGATTGTGATCATGCGACCTTGTTGGATATTCTTAATCCTTCTATCGAAAGAGAATACGAATTTACAAATATTTTTAGTATTAATGCCATCATAAATGTTTTATATTTAAATTATCTATTATGTAACCGATTTATATTACGACTCTTTTATATTTATTTCTCTATTTTTATTCTCAATTAGTTTAAATATTATGTTTTACACTGAGGATGAGCTGATAAAGGTTAAAACATTTGCATGATTTAATGTTTATATCGACTAAGAGATAACTATTAAAGATAGATTAATCATTAGCACTTAATAACTAACTTTGACTCATAGTCTTTTCTTTCTGGCAATTTTTTATTTTTAAAAAATTCTTGAGTCAGAATATTTTTATTATTTTTTATCTATTTAATACTATTATTAAATCGGACTGACCTCCATGCTCAGTACAACACACTATTACAATCCATGCTATGCCTATGGCCCAAACTGTTCTACTTATTGCAACATAGATAGCAGTAGACAGAACAGATATCTGTCGTTTGTAAAGGCCAAATAACACGAAAATGTTGCAAGCAGCACCAAGAGTCCAATATAAAATTATAGTACTCTGAAATTTATGCATTTTATTTAAAATGTTGTATATTAAAACAGGTCAACTGATATAGATCTTAACAATTTTCAGCAATTTTAGCGATTTATTTTCATCAAGATATTAAGAATAATTTGGATGTGGGTTAAATAATTCTTTTATACATTTATATTTTCTATATAAATTGTGGTTTTCAGCTGTGTATTGAACTGTAAAGTGAGAAATGTCAGTGTATTAATTTATAAATGATTAATTCGTATACAGAGTGGGGAAGAAGTACGGAAACCCTGAAAAATATTAGTTTTATTACAAAAAAGTATTTCGGATAAAAGTTGTAAGATTTAAAAAGATTTATTTACTGGTCTTATTAGTTTGTCCTTTGGAAATTGTTTCTCTTATCTTTATTTTTAGTGTAAAAGTCCTGATTTTGACAAATTATTTTATGCAAAAATGGCTTAATCCATTTTAAATGTGATACTGTACGTTTTTTTGGTTGTTGTCCAGATAGCAAGTTACGTCATTTTGACGTCAAATGACGTCATTTTGACGGCTTGCTACAGAGTGAACACGATGCAATAATGCATTTAGCTCTGATATACGCCTTAAGAAATTTTGAGTTCAAGATCGATTTTAGCAAGGTTCCAAGCGTCCAAATGAGTCGTTTATTTATCGTTTAATTATCGTTACTCTCTTCAAATTGTAGGTTTGTTCACTCAGAACAAGATCCAAGCATGAGCGCATTTTCCCGGGACTTTCTACAGAGCCTTTAAAAGTTGCATTTAACATTATAAAATGTTTTTAAGAAAAAAATTTATTTACAAGTTCTAAAGTATATTTTTAATTAAATCATTTTTTTTGTATTATGTACTCATTTCATTTTCTAATAAACAGTTTTATTGTTAAATTGAGGCATTTGATTTGAGGATGTCAAAATCACAAAATGATATACGTTAGAACTTGTTGAAAAAAATTTTTTCTATTTTTAAAAACGTTTTATAATCAAGTTAAATGCAACTCTTAAAGGCCCTGAAAAAGCAACTGGATCTTGTTTTGAGAACAGATCTACAATTTAAGGGGAGTAATAATCCATTGGAACCTTGCAAAAATTGATCTTAAACTTAAAATTTGGTTATTTTTACACATTAATCGAGCTGTATTTTTTAAGGCGTATGTCGTAGAGCTAAATGAATTATTGTATCGTGTTTAGCGACCAAAAAAACATAGAGTATCACAATTAAAATATAGATTGAGCCATTCTTGCATCAAATCAAACATACATTAAGGAAAATCAAAACTTTGATTTAAAAATCGTTCACTAACGATCTCTAAATCTTAATATATTTTGATAAAAATTTAGATTCTTTATTAGTATTCTTTTGACATAAAATGGAAGTTTTTGAACTGAGGCTGATTAAAATTTTTTATTCTTGTCAGTCTAATATCTTTGTATGTATGTATGTATAATTGCAGATATGATTTAAAAATTAGCTACTGTTAAACTTTTGTAAAAATTAATTTGATATTAGTCCATGATTTATAATTATGGATATTTCAAATCCGCGTTCTGCATAATTAAAAATAACAATCTAAATTTTATTAATCGGTAGCTTACATACTCCATAACTCCAACAATTAGTTACATCAAATTCTTTTATGTAAAGATAAATATTATATATTTTACCTTTTTCAAGACTATTTTTCTGTTAAATCTTTTTATAATGTAACCTGTAATCATTCCAATAATATATGGACCAATTCGAATCCATGGAGGGAAGTAGAGGACATCTAGAAGTCTGTACTGTTCATCTAAACTGTAATAATATAAAAGTATTTAATTATTTAAATAATTCGTAATTAATCAGATGCTTTGCAACTTACGTCGGAACATATTCATAAATGTATGAGATATAACCGCTTAAGATAACTGAGGCTATCAAAATTGTACCTAGTATAACAACAGCCACGTAAAAATATCTGAAATTTGTAGCTTTTATTTATTCCAATACATGCGTTGAAAATATGTAACATTCTACAGTGAACGATCGTTTAACTTACACAGTTGATAGAATTAAAAGCGCCAGACCGATTATAAAGAATTGCATATCACTGGATAGATACCAACTCCAAGACAAGCACTACAAAAAAATTTCTCTCAATATAATTCGGAATAAGGAGTCTCTCTTGAGTGTATGATGCCAGAATGATATTATAATTAAAGCTATATTCCAAAATTTACTGCCGTTTACGTTACTATAGATTTTCAGTACTGACAGTATATTTTGGAACCAGCCTAAATTGGCATTCGTACCATCGTATTATGATTAAACAGATTATTTATGTACAAGATATTTCTCCACCAATATTTCGCGCAAGTTTCGTGCAATCTTTCTTCAACGTAAAATTGCGAAGTCTTGTCGTACCAAGTTGAGTTTAATTGCACTATTCCTATCATTATTATATAAGTTGGTGTCAACCTTAAAACAAATTTCTAGATTTAATTTTAAAAACTATAGAGAAAGCAATTATTATTATTATCTGGCTCATTGTTAAATTGAATTTTTTAATCGCATTCTGTGTTATTTTGCTTATTACTGTACCATTGATGCTGTCATGCTTACAGCGTCGTCTTTGTTTATTGTTCGCGTGAATCAAGATAACGTTAGAAACGTACCGGATATATCTCTTTATTATGCTGACAAAGAACTCATTTAGCTTCTCTCTGTAATGAATCGGCTTAATTTTTTCCTTGTCTGTTTTATGCTTTAAATACACGTAAGCCAATAAAAATCCGCTTAAAAAGAAATAAGTGTCAACCGCTATACTTGCGTTGCTTATCACTTGAATGGAGATACCTTCGGCGAATCTCAACGTCCATATTTTATTGTCTACATATGTGAAACGATGTTTGTTATGCATGGAAAAATATCGAACGATCAAGAGGCGTAAATAATCAGTTCTAGAATTTTTGTCTCAGTACACTTACCGAGATAGTCCGTCGTGTAAAATATGGTGTGAGCTATAATTATCCAAAGCATGGTCAGAAATCTTATGCCGTGAATGACGGCTATTGCTTCGGTGTCCAATTTTGTGTTAAATATTATCTTCGTACTTGTGTAAACGGAGAAACACATTAATACATTCCCGATTCTACTTTTCTCACGTGAAGACGACAAATCTGTCATTTGCATCTCGACCGCGTTTTCTACATCTAAATAACAATTCAGAATCTGTATTGATTAAAAATTGCGAAGGATGCATACCGCGGCGAAGATAAGAAAACTATTAACAAGCAAACAATTCGAAAAAGAGATGTTGCACTATAGGAATAAATAATATACGAGAGAAAAAATTTTTTTTTGCATTTTAAAGTTTTATTAAAATAATGATTCCAATTTAGTAAAAAAGTTTTCATGTGTAAAACGTGAGCGTGATTTTCTTTTGGAATACCAGGAATATAACAAAATTAGTATTACGAATAGTTCACCGAAGAGAGAAGTTCAAAAAATTTTACAATTAGTTAGACATATACTTACTAACGACAATTTTAGCATTTGCTTTTAAATATGTTTGATATATGAATATATCGTATATTGTACCGCTTATCATCATGACAAAGGTAAGCACTAAAACAACACTGAAATGATAAAATTAATATTTGCAGATATCTCTTTCATCGCTTTCTCAAACTCTTGGAAGAGATATGAAAATTTAACGTCTATTATTATTTTATTTGTAATTTTTTATTGTCTATGTTTTTTGATATACCATATGAGGGGTGTCGCACCACTTAACAGCCATTGGTGATCGTCCTTTAAATTTTTTACCTGGATCAGGCTGAGATCCATAGAATAGAGATCATTGATTAAAAGAATTCTGTCTCTAAATATTCTTTCTAGAATGAAACTTATATTATTCATGGAACAGGATGCGGGTAAACAGAGGCCGAGCGTAATCAGATCCTAAAATATATATATAATTTTCTATATACAGCATATATAAAAAATATCGGAACCTCTCGAAATATCTCGAAACATATAAGTTTTATAAAAAAAAATATTCCAGGTAAAAAGTTGTAAAGTTTAAAAAAATTTATTAACACTAAAAATAAAAATAAAAGTAACAACTTTCAAAGGCTACAATGTTATCAAGATCATGAACAACATTTAAAAGATTTTATATCAGTTAGATATCTTAGATAATAAGTAATTAACTAATGCCGGCGATACGATAACATTCAAGTCATAGAACTCAAAAAGTACTCCAAGAAAAAAAAATTTTGTTATAGTGTTTTGAGAAGTTTTTGAAATAGGTTAAGAATATAATATGTAATAAAAATGGGAGTTTTCATTTAAAAAAATGTAACTTTGATCTAATCTTGGTAACGCCATCCAAAGTCAAATAATTAATAAGATCAATGAATAGATCTTTTTAACTCCTACAACTTTTGTTTGAAACAAAAAATTTAAGATATATTGTCTTGGTTTTGTCTTGATTCAAGACAAAACCAAGACAAGATGTCTTAAATTTTTTGATCTTGATGAAACTATTACTGTACAATTAATGCATATCTGATTTTTTGTATACAGATTATATAACGTACATAGTACATTTTGAATTTGTTTTGCGTATTTGCATTATTAGATATACGTATTAGATATATAATTTATATATTTAATATGTATCGAATATATATATCATATGTATTTGATATGTAACGTAAATTATATATCTATTGAGACATTCCTCGTAAACGTCTGGTATTCATACGAATTGCTACGTATCTAATATATAGCAATATTTCAAATTTCATATACCTATTATGTATTTAAAATCTAAAATGCTGTGCGGATAATGTATATCTTTTTTTAGAACAAAAACCATTAATTTTATTTATCATTTTTCTATTTAATACATTTATTTATCATAAATAAATGTTAAATTAGTACTATTCAAATAAATAATTATTTAATACATTTTTCCAATGTAAAAATAAAATTTATTAGATCATAATATAGAAAAATGCAGGAAGTGTTCGATTTAGGATTACATGACATATATTATTAAAATTGAACTTGAAATAAAAACTTAAAATCTATAATAAAAAACCCGATACTATTAAAAACACGATATACTTCCTGAAAAAAAAATGGTTCATATATAATTTATATATAATTATATACAAAATTGACATATTTTATATGCAATTTTATATAATTATATATAAAATATGTTCATATATATATATATATATATATATATATACATACTCTTTTTTTGAGTAGATAATCTCAAGAAGAAAGAACTTACTTCATTTGGTATATTGATGTGATACTGAAGAGTACTGTTGTGTCTGAGATAAGCGACGAAGTAATTCAATTGGAAAGGTGGGAACTCATTCTGCGGATTGCGGTATCTCGTGTTATTAACTATATGCCGTTTCGCGAACTCAAAGGGAGTCCTGTTCATTATATCGAAGCACTGGCTACGACTGCCCAGCCAAAAATTATTTCCATAAAGGAAACCTGATTTGAGTTCGCCACTAGAATCCAATGCTTGAAGAATACAAAAATACACAATTGTTATTTACGTAACAACATCTAATATAATATTTCTTATTCATTGCTACTTAAATACTGCGACTTTTATTAATTGCTGAAGACAGGATCATTGTCAATTGCAAAAGACAATTCTTAGATAACTCATATTATTTAGGTGTTTTTCAATTTCATTAATCAAATGTCGCAATGGGGTGTGTGGTGCGCGCGCGTGCGCGTGCGCTTCGCTATAATAGTCCCAATGATTATTACAAAACATAATTATATAATTTTAATATCACTTTGTGCATTATTATGCATTTTACAAATAACACTTGGAGAGATATAATAAAAAATAATAGTTAAATGTTGTAATAACAAATATGAAATATTTTTGTGACTAAAGTAATACTACGAAGGATAATTTTTAATTGCTCTATTTCGTAACTTTTACTAACTTTCACTCAGATCACTTCTTCATATAAACGATAGTGTTAAAAAATGTCAAAACTCGATGTATAAGGAATATATCTATTTGATTAATTGTGTACATAAGAGAGCGTGTACTTTCAGCTGTAATGTTCTCCAAACTACAGATATACCGCGCAATTTCATGAGATGTAGGATCCTCGAAATAAAATGAGAGAAAATTGTGCGGTGTTGTACGCGTAATAAACGCTTTTCTCTCGCATATGCAGTCAAGAAACTAGTTCCTTGTGTAACACGAAGAAAGTTGATTCTAGTACTAAGTGTTTAAACCGAAAGTTACGCGTGCGACACAATCACGGTAGTAATACATTTATGGAAAATATGTTGTATAATGTGTGAATAAATGAATTACGTCATCGGAATGCAACTTATACGTCCTGAGAACAGGTTGTTCTCCAGTCAAAAAAAAAAGATATTTGAAGTTTAAGTAACCAAAGTAATAAGTGCCACTTTTCAAGCTCGTAATTTTAACGATCTATTACATAGATTGCACATTTTAAGGCATGCGAATATATTTTAAAGAAACTTAAAAATTTGTAGCACAAAAATAAAATCGTTTCGATAACTCTTTGTATTGATACTATCTAAATGATAATTTGAAATCCCGATAAATCACCCTTTTATTAAATCAATTTTTTAAATCAATATATTAACTTAATTAATTGAATAAACTGAATTTACTACTTGAAATAAAAAGTTGGCTTATTTATTCTACGTAAGAATGTATATACAACTGTAATACTGTATATAATTTTTAGGAAATTACAATAAATATAAAACCTCTGACGATTAATTCAATATAAAAAGTAATTTGCAAAAGTAATTAGATGAGGCCAATGTGCAATAATATCGATATATAAGATATTTAAAATCTTTGAGATGCGCCGCGGTCATATTTCCCACTTATATCTAATAGCGTTTTTCATTGGCAGAACTGGTGCGCACTCAATGCACTTTAAAGCCATTGTATACAAATCGACGTAAAGATGTGCGTTTAAAAAAAATATAGAAACGAATTAAATCTCAAAATTCTCAATACATTTTATTGTGCTATTTGATAAAATATACATTGGGTATTAATTGAGATATCTCACTTTTACGTTCAGATTGGATTAGTATACAACAGCTTTAATATGCACTGAGTACGCACCAGTTCTGCCATTGAAAAACGTTATAAATGTTTAGATATCGACATAAGGATGGTTGCTATATTACATTTTAAGTATACGGCCTTTATAAAACGGCAAATGACCCGACATCCAACTTTGCTTTATATCCATATTATTGACTCAGCCGATTTCTGAAAGAGTAATTTCTGCATGGCAACAACAATTTGTAATTATTTGGTTTGTACTATGATGTGTCTTGTATACGTAAAGGCTATGATACACAAAAAATTTATACAGTAAAACATAAATAAGTAAATTAATTGGCCAAAATAGTAAAGACCATAAGGCCATAATGTGTCTACTATAATATGTGAGGGGAGTAAACTTGATAAATAAGAAGGTAAGAATAAGAAATTGACCGATCATATTCCATTAATTTTCTCACATTTCGCTGTGATTGAGCAAATTTGTTTATTTTTACTTTTTACACCATGCTTACTCTGCATATTGTAGACGACGCTTAACATAAGCAGCAGCAAATCCAACACTTTGATTCTCTTCGCAATACAAAATTTTTCATGTATAAATATGTATAAATATAGTTATATATAATTATATACATTCATGCGTAACAAATTTTTTACGGGTTATTGCATAAGTTTTTGTTTGTGTGTCATGGTTTTATCCATGATTAGTGTTCTTTAGTTATGTTATTGTGTTTTCCTCTTATGTATTAATTTATTTGATGACTGAGAATGGGGCTAAACAATTTTTTATGTATTAGGTGTTGGAATTAATTCGTAGCGTTTTACAAGTGATGGGAAGTACTTTCATTAATGTATTTTTTAATGCTCATGTGAAATAAATAACATTCTTTCATTAAAAACGCTACGAATTAATTCCAACACCTAATATAAATATGTATAAATATGTATAAACATATATAAATATTCATGAACATGTATCGTATATAAAATATGTCAATTTTTTATATAATTGTATACAATTATATATAATTATATATGAAATTTTTTTCTATGTTTTTATACATTCTTCTCTCTCTTTCTTTTGTAAAATTACTTTTAGTGTAATAGAATATTTGTAATGTGAAAACATACAAAATAATTAAAGGGATCATTTTTACTATTTGTTTTAGAAAAAAAATAAGTTTGGAAAAATGTAAAAAAATGCTCACACGCAATTATGTATAATTTTATATATAATTATATATAAGTAATTTTTTAAAATTTCTTCAAACTTGATTTTTTCTAAAACAAATAGTGTGAAAATTACTCTTTTAATTATTTTTAATGTTTTCACATTACTATTATTATTTCCATTACATTAAAATGTAATTTTATAAGAGGAAGAGGGATGTATGGACATATTTCATATAAAATTATGTATGTTTATGAATATTTATACATGTTGAATATAATATGTTTATACATATTTATATATATTTGTGTGGACTAATTTTTTATCGGGTAATTAGGAAGCTGAAACATCCTATCTTATGTATTAAACAATAAAGATATTAATTGAACAATTTTTGCTTAGGCCTTGATTATTCCTTTTTTAATATTATATACGAACCTACGATTTTTATCATTTTTTAAATAATCTTGATATATATAAATATATATTTAAAAAATTCTATAACTGAAAGTTTCGACTACAAACATAACAGATTCTACAAATATAACAATTTTTAATTTTGTGAGATAAATATAACAGATATATCTGAAACATTGAAATATTTTCGCTTATAGATACCTTAATTTATATCTTTATTAACGCCAGACAAAATTAAACACGACTCTTACAGTTGCAACATTGCAGTAATATTGAATGTTGCATCATATTGTAATATTTATTACAGCTATATAGCTACAAAATCGATTTAGTTTCAGAGTAACTCTTTAACGATAAAATAACTCGACATGAAATGAACGCAAGATTATTCTTGTGATTAACATTTTTGACTTTGCATTTATTTTATCGATCCGATAAATATCAAAAACCAATCATGATTAAGAATGAATTTTACTTACTCTTTAAGCCCCATAGCATCCGTTGATCGACAGCGTCTCGAAAATCTTGTAATTCCGTTGCACATGTTGCCGAACCGAGAAGACTAGCTCTCGAGGCGATGGCGTAAGCAGGTAATAAATGAATAATATTATTCTTGGAAAGTTCTTTAGAATTGTGAAATTGTGCAGAAACGCAAAATAATGTGACGAAATGACAGATATATGAAATAAACGTAAATCGCTGATGCGACATAATGCATGTTTTTGAACCCGAAAATTACAATTACTTTTACTTCCTCGTTAATGCAAACTGTGGTCTATATCGATTATAAAGTGATCAATTTTAGAAATATAAGAGTGAAATATAAAGAATTATTTTGCTCATGTAAAGAATTTCATTAATGCACAGATCTAGAATTATTTTCTTTATTGAAATAAAGAAGACACATTTTCTCGATGAATCGTATTAAAGAATCGTTAAATATAAATAATATCGTTGTTTATTAACTTCGTCCGTGCAAATGTTAACACAACGTTTTAGAGTTTTGTTAGAAAATGCTCCTCACTTGATTTGTATAAAGGAGATTAATATTGGTCAGCGAGATTCGACGATCGGGACAAGACTGGTCTATATAGGGAGAAGTTAGCGGATTTGGAAAGCGAAACGTCCTCCCCGACAACTTTTCCAACGTCGTGGCAGAGCCCCACCACGTTATGTGCACACCATCATACGAATACGCCGACATCTAGAATATCAAAATTTAATGATAAAACAGGACACTCCAGCATCCCCTTATGTGCACACCATCATACGAATATGCCGACTAGAATACAGCAATCTAATAAAAAACATTTTTTTAATGAAAAAAACCAATAAAATATTTTATAAATTTTTGTACTAAAGTTCTATGATTGTCTTATGACATTTAGAAATCGAATTAGTTATACTAAGTCGCACATTTTAAGATATCATAAGCCAATCACAGATTATACTTAAGCTAATATTAAATGTAATTGATTATCATCCTTATAATAAAAATGATTTTGATATCATAAAACGAAGAAAGAATCTTTTTCATAATTTAGGGGTTTAAAAAGAACCATTTTTTAGATTCTCTATGTTGTTTTGATATACTAAGGGCGGAATTCAAATGTTGCTTGAAATCTGTCTTAAAGTAGTCTTTGTCAAGATGACAGATGTATTGATTGTGTATAAAAAATGAAAAATTTAAAAGTGATTGGATAGCATAAAAAACGTCAGTTGAAAAAATTAATAGTGACTCAACAGAAAAAGCAGTTTTGCAATTGTTGTAAAATTCTGTAAAATGATAGATTTTATTCTTTAATTTCTCACTGGATTTAAATATATTGAATACAGCCAATGTGTGAAAAAATGAACTGAATATACTCAAAGATTTTTCTAAAATTAATAAAAAATATAGTAGTAATTGTAGATATCCATATAGCACTGATTATTGCGGAAAATTTTTAGATATGTTTCAATCTTTCACATGTCATGTGCAATAATTCTGAAAGAATTCTGCAATATGTCATATGAAATGTTTTAACCGAAATATTTCTAAAATCTATCACATATATAATAAATTGAAAAATATATTTAAACAGAACAAAAAATCATCATTAAATGGCTTTAAAATGTATTATATATATTTATATATATATTTATATATATTTATATATATTTTATATATTTTATATATATTTATATATATAATACACTATTACATAAACCTGTACTCTCATATAATATTGCGCATATCATATATATATATATATATATATATATATATATA